AATATACTTTTAATTAAATAACATCTTAATATCTTACGTAAAAAATAAGAGCCAAACAAGTTGCAATTTTCACTTACTAGGGTCCGGGAGCAGGTGGTGCCTCTTCGTAGTTGGTATATAAATAGTTAGAAGCCACACAGTCCGTGCAGTTAATGGTATTTTTTCGTTTTTCCTTAGCCAGATTCTCGTCACAAAAAAAAAGCAGTAAAAGTCAATAAAAGGGATACAATTTGTGACGGGCAATATCAGTCTTTATTAATCGGTGCAAATCGATTACGGTGACTGAATCGAAAAATTAATAACTCAATTAACTAGAAAAAAAATGTGTTTTAATTGAATTGAAACAATTTTCGATTTTGTTGGTGAAAATTGATCCAATTTAAATCGATCCAAATATATAAATTACTAATAATATTTTATTATAATTATTTTAGATATTATAGATGATGATTTTAGTGCGGATTCTGAATTGACGATGTAAGTTGCTATTTTTTAATTTTAATTGTTTATATATTTATTTTAAATTTGTTGTTGCTTGAACTAGGGGCGCTAAAAGAGTGAGGGACCTTATGCTTGGCTTGTCTAGGCCTGGTCTGATTTTAGTGTTTTGGTTATTAAATCCAAACTTAGACCTGTATAATAGCTTATTTAATAAAAAAATGTCATACTCTAATTCAAAAGTTCAACCTTAAAGCCTGTCAAGTTGGCCTACTAACTCTTTTTTTTTTTATACTAACCTAATTTTCACTCTCATTATCGCGCCCAACCCACTCAAACCATCAAGCAACCGTTCTCCATTATTATATTTGTTGAAAAGCCATCTCCAAGCATTTCACCAAGTTTATTAAATTGTTTACGCAGAATTTGTAATCTTTTGTTCTTTTGGATATGCAAAATTTTGTACTACTTTTGTTTATTGGTTAAGCAGACTTTTTGAACGATTTTATTCTATATTTTATTGTTTAGATATACATTGAATTTATGATTTCTTGTGAAATTATTAGTATTGTTGATCGTATATTATGTTTAGATACATTTTTGTTGTTTTATCTTTTTTAATAGGCTAAGCCAGACTTTTATTTTTTGTAAATAAGTCAGGTCATAGGCATTATATTCAAAACATGTTACAGACTAGGCCAGTCTGGCATATTTAAACATAGGTTTAACCTTTCAAGACTAAAACCTGGCCCGGCTCGGCTCGTTAACACTGTAAGCTTGAACCCGGTCTTAATCTTTTATTTTCTAGTGGTTTGTAACTTTGTATGGCTTCATTTTGATATAGTTAGTGATTTGTAAAGCTAAAATTTTAGAATTTTCAAAAAATCATAAACCGGTTCAATTGAAACCGAATAAAATTGAATTGGATTTGAAAAAAATTGAAATCGAGTGGATGATTAAATGATCATACCGAAAAAAATTAGATCAGATAATTTTTGCTTCAAAACTGATTAAATTCTGAGTGCCAACACCCTTAATGGGCAACAATATAAGTATGGCTTGGATACCAGTATTTATAATTTATTGCCTAAATAAAACTCGAGAAATATATTTAAAAATTATAATAATGGTCTGTTTGATTATGTTCTGATTTTTTATTTTTAAAATTATTTTGTAGAATAGTAATAGAAATATGTGTTTTTTTAAGTTAAAAATCAAGATATAAAACAAAAATAATTCAAACATGTTCCTTAAATTTGATATTAAAATAAAAAAACCAATAACAATTTTTATTTTTATTTTTTATAAAACAAGCCTTATCAAATGAGTTTTTTTGTTCTGAAAACCAAAAACTTATTTTTAAAAACAGTATTCAAATATATTTTAATTTACAGTTTCAGAAAAGAATTATGCTACGAGGAAGTTTAAAGCTTTAATTCTCAACCCATTTTAAACAGAATTATCGCCAAGAATGATAATTGTAGTTTAAAAAAACGAAAAAGGAAAAGGGTTATGCTACGAGTCCGGACTTGCAGAGCAATAAGCTTGGACATGGTTAACCTTAGTTGGAAAAAATGAAATAAAAATTGAACCACATTATTCTCTCTCTTTTTTAAAAAAAAAATTAAAGAAAGAAAGAAAAAAACTTAAACAAACCGATTGTCACACTCTGGTTAAGTAGTTAATCATTTTTTCCAGCCAATTAACAATTTAGGGGGGAAATGGGTTAATTTTTTGTGTTCTTGATTTTAGAAAAATAATAAAAAATTATTAAGATGATCTTCATCTATCCATTTAAATCTTTGGATTGAATTGAATTGATTCTTTATCTGCCTAAGAAAACAAGAGAAGGGACAAATATATAGCAAAAGGAGAGGGAAGAAGATGGCGTGCAGACAAACTCAGGGTCTTTTATCCCCCACTGTCTGGTATTACTTTGAGCGATTCCGAATCCGATGTCCTAAATTATGGTGGTTGTTTGTCGGGAGATAGCAGTTTCAAATTAAAACACGACTTCATGAACCGTATCTGCCACCCTAAGAATGAGAGCTTATATTAAACTAATCAAATTCTGTTCAGTTTCTTCCGTTGCATTTGCATTATAATATATTGTGAACCATTAACTAAACTAAACCACTGTCACATCTCACCTAACCTATTCAAAAATATCAATCATAGTAATCGAAAGGAATAAAGCCAAGATACGCTTTCACCATTAACTAATTCATGTGCTGATGTAGATTCCTCCATCCTCTTGGGAGAAGCCAGAATGGGATTTCTTCTGATGAAATTTCTTATAGAAGTAAGACATTTTACATTTATCTTTAAAATGCATAAAGAAAAGCAAAAGGTTGCACTTTCAAAAGCTTGATCTAATTAAAGCCCTTTGAAATAACAAAGTTGCACAAGTAACTGCAGTTATGGCCCTAATCACTTAGCCAATCAATCTGAAAGAATTTGTTTGACAATAATATGTCAAATTGTCAATCCCTTAATGCACATACTAGTTTCAAATAAAGTTGTTCATCAATCGATTCAAATTCTGAAAATCAAATCAAAAAATTGATAACCAAATTAATTGAAAACCAGAAAAAAAAACCCACATATTTTAATTGAATTGTATTAGTTTTTGAACTTAATTGGTAAAAATCGATTCAATCCAAACAAATCTAATGTATCATATATTTATTATTTCGCATATTTATTAAAATTGATTCTGGTCCACTCTTTTTACCAATGATGTAGAAGAGTTTATAGAATAATTTGTAAAGATGGAGATAGGTAATTTACTTTATTTTACTTGTATAACTTTTTAATTTTATATCATCTTTGTATTTTTTTAATTATGAAGTTACAAATAATATTTTATTATATTTATTTTAGATATTTCTACAAATAAAGAAGTTGATTATGATTTTGGTGCTGATTCTAATTAAAAATTGACGATGTAAGTTTTTTATTTTTTAATTTTAATTATTCATGTATTTATTTTAAATTTATTGTTACTTGAACCATCTCTTAATCTCTTATTTTCATGAAAATTGCTATATTGTTAGTTGTTTTGAAGAACAAAGAGTGACCATTGAGCAAGATGAAAGAATGAAGTATAGAAGAAAAAGACGGTGGCTTAGAATATTGGATGTTATTGATAGTTAACTATCCTATTTTAGTTTTTTTTATTGTCCATTTCTCTATTTTAATCTCTTCATGAGTTTGATTTGTTTTAGTTTGAATCTTAAATTTTATGATGACTTGTAATTTTGTATGACTTTATTTTGATATAACGTGTTATTTGTATGCCTAAAATTAATTAGGTTTTTTGAAAAATTGAAAATCAATTTAATCCAAACCAAGTAAAATTGAACTGAATTGGAGAAAATTTGAAAAAAAAAAAAAAAACCTGAATGATTAATTAAAAGATTAAATCAAAGAAATTCGATCGAATAATTTTTAATTGAAAAGTAATTCAATCCAAACTACATTCCTAATTTTAAGGGGAGGGGGGAGGACATGGAAAAGGAAGCCTTAGTCCTTAAGCACGATAAAAGTGGAAAAGCGACGTCGTAGGATATCGGAAGCAAAAGCGATTCCCCATATCGAGATCGAAGGCGATAGATACCACGTGAGGACAGCCCAGCAGATAAATTTTCAGTGTTACATTTAATAAAATTATGAAATATACATAAATCAATTAACCATATTTTATTATAAAAAGTCAGTTGAATTCAAAAGTTTATCCCACCAGTAAAATTATATTAATAATTTTATATTTTTTAAATGTATTTCTCACACAACTTATTTTAAGAAACTTTATATTTTATAGGATTTTATTTTTCTTACGTCATATAAAATAAAAAAAATAATGGACTCTACATGAGAGAAAAAAATAGAGCACCAAAATTGAAATGAGAGTAGCATATGAAATTTTAAGAAACGTGACATAAGAAAAATAAACATCTATTTAATATTATATAAAAAAAATTTATCTTTTTAAATGACATAACTTATATCATTTTCCTATCACAAAGAGGTGAGATATACACCTTTACTTTTTTTGTCAATTCTCTCTTCTTTTTTATCTATCTCTTTGTAGCGGCCCAATATCCAAGTAACCGGTCCACACGCACGAGGAAGAGCCCACCATATCTCAAGGGCTACGTTCGCTAGTCTTGGGGCTACAGAGACAGAACCCAACAGCATTAGGATTATTATTAGATAATTATTTAAATTCAAGTTGTTATCAAATAAAGCTATTAGTTGGCTAATTGATAGGATATCTCCTAAACTTAGGATTAGTTGTTATTTGCATTCTGTTATTTCAATTACTGATAGAATTAGTTGTTATTTGCTTCTGTTATTTGAATTACAGATAGAGACTAGGATCTCTATAAAAACGTCAAACACAAGGATGAAAGTAGAGAGTGATTTGACAAAATTTCTTCTTCCTTCCCTTTTCCAATTTTCCCTTCCTCTAATCTTCTCTATTCCCTTTTTCCTTTCTCCTTCCAACATTTGGTGCTTTCATTCCTGAACTCCCCTCCATGGGCGAAAAAAATACACGCATGACACAGATGCAAGACCAGATAAATGGTCTTTTGCAGCAACAGGAAACCACAGAAGAACGTCAACAGGCGTTCCTTCAACAGCTACAACAGACGACTGCCGAGCAGTTTAATACCATGATGGATCGTTCAATGGAACGCTTCCAAGCCGAGATGACCCGCATCCTCCAGACACACCAGGCAACTCCAAACGCAGGCGGCGTCTTGGGGCCAGGCCCACACCGAATAGATCCCCCTCGCCCTAAACCAGTACGGTTAATTTTTCCCCGCTACGGCCAAGGAGATCCCACAGATTGGATATTTTCGGCTGAACAATATTGCGATTATTACACAATTCCAGAGGCCGAACGAGTCCGTATAGCATCCTTTCACCTTGATGCACCCGCCAACAGCTGGTACCGGAACCTCTCTCGTGAAGGGTTACTCACAACATGGCGTGAGTTTAAAGCTGCAATACTAAGCCGATATGGGCCAACGGCCTACGAAGATCCAGCAGGGGCCCTTTGCAAGCTGACACAAACGGGTACTGTCCGTGAATATCAAACAGCTTTTGAAGCTTTATCTTGTCGGGTAACAGGCATTCCCGATACACTTCGCAAAAGTATATTTATTGCTGGCCTAAAACCAAAGGTGAAAAGCGACGTCCAAGCCCATTTACCGGCGGATTTCCATGCTGCCTGGGGACTAGCAAGAAACTATGCAGAATCTGAGGAAAGAATAACACGTTGGACACCAAGATCCATGCAACCCACACAACCCATAAGCAAGACAACACCAATAACAAGCAGCTCAATCCCTATCAAACGCCTATCACAGGCAGACATGGCAGCAAGACGTGAGAAAGGCTTATGCTATAACTGCGATGAGAAATATGTTTTCGGACATAAATGCAAACCTGGTTCAGCATTCATGTGCGTACTTGTCGACTTGGAAGATACACCAGAATCAGAACCGGAATCAAGAGAAGAAGAACAACCAGAGATTCCGTCCTATACAGAAATAAGCTATAATGCCTTATTTGGACACCACTCACCAAGGTCCTTTCGGATGATAGGATCAGCCCATGGGTTCAAAGTACAAATCCTGATCGACAGCGGTAGCACTCACAATTTCATCACCAACCGGGTTGCGAAACATTTACAACTACCAATCCAGGCAATTAAGAAATTCAAGGTACAAGTGGGAAACGGTGATAGTCTATTCTGTGAAGGATTATGTGCAAAGGTACCAATCATACTCCAACAGGTACATCTATTTGACATTGACCTATATGTCCTAGACTTGAACGGAGCTGACATTGTTTTGGGAGTCCAATGGTTGTCAACATTAGGACCTGTTATGACCGACTATGAAAACCTGACCATGAGTTTCCATCACAAATCACAACCCATTCTCCTAAAAGGAAACACTAGCCTCACTCCCACCCCAATTACCAACTCACAACTCCATAAGCTTATAGGCCAAGAGCCTGTTGAATCCTTCCTAATGTGTCTCTCCATCCAAACCCAAAACACCGAGCCACAACCCCCCATCAAATCCACCATTTCCCACATCATCGACTCCTACTCCGACATTTTCACTACACCTACCCACCTACCCCCACAAAGACCAACCAACCACCACATTCACCTACTACCAAACACAAAACCAGTACAGGTACGACCATACAGATACCCTCACTACCAGAAAAACGAGATTGAAAGGCTAGTATCCGAAATGTTACAAGAAGGAATAATTCGTCCCAGTCGTTCTGCCTACAGCTCGCCAGTACTACTGGTAAAGAAAAAAGACGGGTCTTGGAGATTTTGTGTTGATTACAGAGCTCTAAACGCAGTAACAGTACAGGACAAGTTCCCCATCCCCACCATAATCTTCTCTATTCCCTTTTTCCTTTCTCCTTCCAACACTCTTTCTCTTTTTTAAAATGATACAACTTTATATTCTTTAAAATTATATACACTTTTTCTGTAATAAAAACTAATTCACTTCTTTATATTTTTATTGTGATATAAATCCACTTATTTTTATTCTATCCACAGTCGATTTTACGAGGGACAGCGGGAATCATGGGATATGAATACGAGGGTGTCAGTGTCACTTATCGTCAGCCTATTCTACTTTACAAATCCCCAAACAAAAATAAGAAATAAAAAAAGATTACAGAAGGAAACAAGTTATTGTAATGCGATATAGCTGGCAAGGGGGGGCCCATGACGTTGCCTCCCCAATCGCTTATCCATTGACGGTTCGAAAGCAGACAGAGCAACAGTTTCCGCCATAAAAAACCAAGCTCCCATAACATAGACGACATTCAACAAATAAAATAAAAACCAAACCATTCCCTGAGACGGGCCCTTCACAAATCAATCACAATGCCGGTGCTGACTAATGAATTGAAACGAAATATACTAATAATAATTGAAGAGAAAAGTGTCTGTAATTTTAAGCACATATACTTAGATGATATTAAGAGAGACAGATAAAAAAGAAAAATGAGACTTGTGTTTTTATTTTTTCAGTAGAACTCATATCTTTTTATATTTATCTTTTTTTTAAATGACTTAAGGAACTTTTGGTATATGAATTTTTTTTTGAATTTTTGAGAAATTGATATTGATAGAATTTGTCTATGTTTGGTAGAAGATTTTTAAATTTTTTTTGAAAATTTTATTTTCCTGAAATTCTGATTTGTGAACAAATTATATAACTAAATAGAATCTCAGGTGTTAGAAAAATTCGGCATTCCTAATAATATTTAACAATCAATCAAACATAGAATTAGTAAATTTGAACTAATATTTTTAGTATTATTTTTACCTACCAAATAACTTTTTGATCATATTATCAAAAAATTCATTTTTTCAACATATTTTTGGTAATCATGATTCTTGGGGAAAAAAAATTATTCTGTACCAAATATTCCTTAAGTGTGTGTCTTTTAAAGGACACAAATTTTTCCCATAAATAAATAGGTTATACTATTTATTTAATTTCATGTCTATTTTATCTCTTACTTTTTAACATCGTTAGATCATAATTATAACTAATCTTTATCATTTTTCTCTAATTAAGACTTTGATTTAATGGTATTAGAAGATAAAATAAGCATGAAAAAATAATAGATAAAAGAATTTATCCCAATAATAAAACAGATTTTTCACATTTGACCAAAGAGAAAAAAGAAAATTTTACTAGGAGTAGTATGACGTGTGAGTACCACGTCGACGACAAAGTTCGATGACATGGGCCATCTAGTTGACATAAAAAAATGTTTATAAACTGTAAGAATAATATTCAAGTAGTTTAATCTCTGAATTAATTCAATAACATATACATGATTATTATGTATTTTTATCTATTCTCAAAATAACATCTTTAGTAGATTGATATAATACTTACAGAATAACTTTTCGTTGGGACCACTTCTCGTGTCTGAGGTTGAACTAAAATTCAGGTACATACGTGGCATGGGTGAAAGAGGAACACAAATTTAAGTGGAGCCATCGTAACAACTGTCGTCCTTGTCCGTTAGGGATAGGGATGCAGGGTGACTGGCCCTGACACTTTCACCGTCGTTTTTCACGTGCTAGAAATATATTCTTCTGAACCTGATACTAAATAAGTAGTAAATACTAACAAATAACTCTGGATTAAGACTCGTACGTAGTTGAAATTGGACGGGTGATACAGTGGCTCCTTGAATTTTCTTATTTTTAGTTTTATTTTTTTACTTATAAATAAATTAAACCAAATAAATCTCGAGAAAAATTCTTATAATAATTTTTTTTTATAATACAAAAATATCAAAAGCAAAAAATTTATAGGAGAAATTTTTTTATGTTCTTATCTTTTCTTAAATTGCGTGTTTTTTTAAATAAAAAGTCAAAGAAATAAAGTGAAAAAGATAAAGATTTTTTTTTTAAAATATGTGATTTTAAATAATTTTCAAGCTAAAATAATTATATAATAACGAAACAACTTTTAACCTTTTTTAAAGTTTTTTTTTTTTACTTTTGCTTAAAAGTTACTTGTAACTAGGGGTGAGACTGAACCGGGCCAGCCTACAGGGATCTACGGCTCGGCCTACGTCAGGCCAGACCTGCTCTAATATATTTCGTAAAATGGGCCGGGCTTGGGCCTTGAAAAATTTTGTTTAATAAAAAGTTTGTAAACCCACTTTCAGAAGGCCTGACCTATAGGCCGGCCTATATTATACTTTTTATTCTAAATAAAATAAAATAGAATACGTATGTCTTGAAAAAAAATTAAAAGATATAAATTTAATCAATTGTAATTATTTATAACTTAATTATATTCAATTATATTTAATAAAAATCTGACTTTATTTCTTATGTAGGATGAACTAACATCTCAGCATGTTAGATTATGTATATGAATATATTAAACGTTTTTGGAAGAAGTTATACTTACTACAAGCATCGTGATGTGTTTGTTGGATTCATGTAGTTATTTTAATTTACATAGTATGGATTTGTTTTTTGGATCTGATGAAATATATGTTATTTAGTTTGAGCATTTTGATTTTAAAAGTGACTTAAATGCATATTGTATGAGTTTTGTTGTGATTCATGATTCTGTTTGGACGTTGAAATTATGATTTTTAGTTTAGCAATAGAATTTGAGTATTTTGTAAAGTTGATTCATGGTTCTGTTCGAAAGTTAGAAATTAACAGGCTAACGAGCCAGGCAGACTATTTGTTTTTTTATAAACGAGTCAAGTCAGGCTATCAGTTAGACTCGTACTAGGCTTGGGTCAGGCCAAATTGAGTTTTTTTGGCGCAGACTTGGACTTTTCGGGGCAAAACTTAGTCCAACCCAGCCTACTTTTCACCCCCACTTGTAACGTAAAAAAGAGAGGATTCAAAAATATTCATAGTTGGGGCCCTGTGTCATGTTATGCTCCTTGATTAACCAGCCATTTTCATATGTTCTAATTTACTTCTTGCTCGCTACTCTCTGGTGTTTATGTCCTTAGATGTTTTAATCTATTGAATAAGGAAAAAATGTGTGTCATTTTAAAGGATGTAAAGTTGTGTCATTTTAAGAGAGAATGAGAGTTAGTTAAAGGAGGAGAGAGAGTTGACAAAAAAAAATAAAGGTGTGGGTCCTACCTCTTTGTGAGAGTGAAAGGATATAAATTGTGTCATTTAAAAGGATAAACACTTTTCTCATTCAATAAACCATTTTGGCTTAAATAGTTATATTTTATGTAAAAGAGTTATAGATAAGAAGTTTTTTTTTATCTTAAGACAAAAATGAATCATCATCCTAAACAAAAATTTACATTGAAATTATGGGTTTTATAAGAGTTATGTTGTAGGAAAAATGATTGTGTAATGTTATAGAGATTCGTTTTGCGTGTCATAATTTTTTTTTTTTTGCTTTAAAAAGTGCGAGCCCCACAAAATGTTGTGTGTGTGGGAAACTTTTGTGTGTCATGTTAAAGGATAAAACGAGAACCCTAAAATTATAGATCTCTTATACATGGACATTCTTAAATTCAAACCGACCATTTAGAAGTAAATGCTCTATTTAAATTTACAAGGGATTATAGAAGTTTCTAAAAGGGAATAAAAAGTATCTAAAAGGGAATAACAAGTATCTAAAAAGGAGTAACAAAATACAAAATAACAAACTCCCTAATTCCCCTCACTTGTGTAACAATATACTAATTATCCATTTGTATCATCTCCTCGGGTGAAGAGGAAGAATATATGTAAGGGGGAGATATTCCCTAATGATGAGAGAGATAAAGAAGCCATAAATATTTGCCCTATACCTCACTACATGTGCAAATGTGTCTATCACATTGTGAGTGTAGTGAGTTATGCAGGGGAGTGATTGATCCTTTGCATTGAGGTTCATATATTCACTATGAAAAGGTACATGTATGACCTCTTGAAGGCCCCTTGGGGGTAGGCCCAAGTGTTTTGGATATATGAAGGGTGGTCTAGAACCGGCTCCAACAACGTTGATGGCGGTGGTATGAAATGATAGTAAATAATCCATGAAAACAATAAAAAAAATTCTAAGACAAAAATTAAAGTGTGATTTATTTTTCTATTCTGAAGACAAAATATAAAGAACCAATTTTCATAATGATCATAAGAAAAATAGGTATTATACAGAGAACAAACCTGATCCAATAACCTGTACCCTTTTTATTACTAGTGATATATCTGATATGTATTTCATTCACTGTAATTTATTAGCCATGTTAGCTCTAGGGCATTATTGTTACTTATTTGTTGGTTATTTTTATGTTTTAGTTAGCTCCATTTTTCCCGCTTTCTTACACGTGTGTAGTCGAGTTGTTGTTATTAGTTTTAGTTTTTATATAAGTCTCCATGTGTATCTCTTTCAACTTAATGAAGCCATTATTCGATTTTTAAAATTCATGATATTTTCTCTGGATTCTTTTTTTTTTCTTTGATGGTATCAGAGCTCATATAGTGGCTTTGGTATCCACTTTTTGCTTCCACACAAGAAACACTCTATTCTTGACAATGGCTCAAGAAAAACAGAATGATTCATCTCCTCCACCCTTCGTTTCATCTTTAGATGTTCATATGAATCAATCAAGTCCATATTTCTTGCATCCAAACGAAAACCTTTGTTGGTGTTAGTGTATCTAGTTTTAGATGGCAAAAGCAGTCACACGTGGGCCAGATCGATGAATATGGCATTGCGTTCGAACAAGCCTGGTTTTTTGAACGGGACTATTACAACTCCTTCACAATAATCTGATACTATATTCTTGGCGTGGGATCGATGTAATACCATGGTATTGTCATGGTTGCATCACTCAAATACAGATTCGATCGTTCACTCAATTGTATGGATGGAAATGACTCCTGATGTATGGAAGTATCTCAGTTAGAGTTTTTCCCAAACTGATGTGT